AACTGTGATATTTTAGGCTTTTAAGCTTAATGATTTGAACTTGTTAGGTAAATATACAAGTTAATTTCTTAACTGAAGAGCACTTTGATTCAACAGCTGCTGTTTTAAATAAATAATGATGACTTTATAGTGACTTCATTAAAAACTGACACACACACACAAAAAAAGAAATCTAAGAAGGTTGCAAATATGATCCCTCGCGGGATATTTGCAGCCTTTTGACGAGTGGTTTTAGAACGGCTACGCTTTCTTTTAGGAGTCAGAGGTGAAGAAACTGAGAAACTATTGCATCTGTGAATATTTAAAGATCCACTTTATCACCTTATTGACTTGAATAACTGCAGTTTACTGGACAATTTAAAACACAGAAGTATTCATGAATGGATACCAACATTCATAACTAAAGTTTTACCAGAAAAAGATAGACAGGAGTGTTATTAGTTACAACCTGGCAACCCAAAACTTGCTCTGATTAATGACTTGCGCCGACCGGATACATACAACACTGGTAAATGATGAACTCTTCTTCAACTCAAGAGGTGTTTTGCTTATTGTTGTTTCGCATAAATGTTTGACCTTTACAGTGGAAAATGATCTATGTGCGCAGCTATTTTCATTTTCTGATATGCTGATGAGGAAAAGTTTGTGTGTGCTCACCTTAAACTGGAGTTACAGGTATAAGCACATCTATCACTGGAAAGCCAATCATAGCGCAATATTCAGTCTAAACAAGAGTAATAGTTGAATCTGAAACCTCCAGAGTGGCTTCATATTTCATACATATGTCTGGAGGGGATCTCTAACCATAAAGGAATCTGTTACAGAGAAGAAAACATCATATAAAGTGTGAAAATGCAGGAAAGTGGAACGCGCACAGATTATTACTGACATTTAAACCACATTTTATAGATTTATTTTGAACACCTGTCTCACCTGTTGTGGTCAGCACGGTGCTGGTGAAGAACAACGAGGACACAAAGTCCCAGTTGTGCCCGCTGTCGTTCCCCAGGACGGACACTCCATAGTTACTGGCCTCCAGGGCGCGGGCCAGCAGCTCCTCCAGGCGCGCGTCGGACACGCACGGGCTCTCGGTCAGGAAGTCCTGCCGGGCCTCTCGCAGCTCCTTCCGAAGCTCGTCTTCGTAGGGCAGCTCGATGGCGGAGAAAATTCCGGCACCCACGATGAGATAAAGGATGTAACAGACGACCAGCAGGGCGAAGTTCAGCCCCGGCCGGTGGCTCTCCACGAAGCGAGCGCACCAGCCGTCTCCTGTGCAGCCGCGCACCATCACACAGGTTACAGGTAGATGAAGTCAACAAACTCTCAGCTGGTTCATCCAACCGGACAGAAAGCTCGTTTTTTAAATGTAATGACTTTAGTTGCGTCCTCTCCGGCCGGTGGATGGACTCCTCTTCCTCATTCCTCAGCTCAGAGGAAGCTGCTGCTGCTGGTGACGTCGCGCTCTCACCTCACCAGGTGTGTTTTTTTCTCTCTACCTGAACTCTACTGGAACCGGTTGAACAGGTTTTGCGCTTTCAGTCTGTACATATAATCTGTTTTTCCCCCCTGAGACTCCGGTGGAGTTTCTTTGGAGACCCAGATTTCTTTCAACACGACTTGACTCAGATTTTTGCATTTTTAAACAACTTAAAGAAAATAATAAAAGCAAACAGTACAAAAAATATTTCCAAGGAGTATTTGCTGCATTGAATCCCCTCTATGTGTTTTTTTTATTTATTTTAAAACAAAGTAAATACTTCAACAGTGTAGTTAAGAATCATTTAGTTTATTTAGAGTCTAAACTTCTTTTTGAGTTATGACAACTTCAGATAAAAATGATGTTCAAACAACAAACACTACTTTAGACGAATTAGCCTTGCCTCTAAATTCCAAGATATTTTTTCTAATTTTTAGTCCTGACTGTCTGAAACTGTCCAGGCATGCTGAGACAGAAGAAGGAACTTAAAATCCTCAACTCAAGGTGAAGAATAATTAAGTTTTCAACCAGTTTCATTAACTTGATTTCAGTTTTTGATCAACTAAAGTAGAAAGCTGAGTTGAAATTACACAACATTAAGTTACCAACATTAGCCAAACCCATCAAAATAATGTTCACAACTTAGAAGATTTATCAGGAAATTAGATCTTTAATCTTGCAATCATGCATTTAACGAATTAGCAGAAATATGTTCCTTGAACTACTTATAAGTAAAACATCAAATAAGTTGAATTAACGAATCGCTTCTTGTTATTTTCAGATCATTTTAGGACTTTAAGTGTCTGATTTAAGATCTTTTTTTTTCTGATATGAGTTGAATTAATCTACAACTTAAGAAACCATTAAATCAAGTTTTTAAAGATGCAAAGCTGCTTTGCTCTCCTGAGGTTCTTTTTGCTGTGTGTCTTTAAAGACGTGTTAAATCCACGTTGTCTTTGGTTTATGATGGTTTCAACACGTTAATCGTTCAGATAAGGAAGAGACTCCTTAAACTGAGAAAATGCAAAAGGACTCCGTCTGTAATGACTATTCAGTGGATTCAATTTAATATCTGAAGTTGTGTGAACTTGTCCATCTAACTCAGTAAAGTTTATTCTAATTCTAATTCTAACTCAGTTAATGTTAGATTCTAAAACTCATAAGATGATGTTGAACTAATTGTTCAACCTCACTTCAGTTGAGCCGTATGATTCATTACAGATCATTAAAACTTTTATTCTCTACATGTTCTATTTTGGATGCAGGACTTTTTGATTGCAGTATTTATTAATGATCTATTAGTATGTTTACTAATTGAAAGGAGCCACTAAAGGTGAATATAACACATTTTAAGCAACATGAAACGTCCCAAGTTCATAACTTAGAAGATTTTTTAAAATTTTTTTGCAAGATCTCTGAACTGTGATGCTTAAATATGCAAATGAGGCATCGTGTGTCTTAAAATGCTCTATTTCTCTTTAGTTTCTGGAACATAAATCTGATCACCGGATAAATCCAGCGTCAGAACTTTTGAGTTTGCTGACATGTCGGAGCCAAAGGTCTTACAGGGGAAAGCATTTTGGACATCTCTCTCTTTAGCGCTCCATGAATTATAAAATACTGTCAACACCCTGAAGACGAAACCTGTTGTTGCCATGTTTTTAGGAATAAAATGTTGTTTAAATCAGGCTATAAATGATATATGAAGAAACCCCTCAGTAAAAAAAACAAACTTCAAAATACAAGGAGGAATAAAAACTGGAGCTTTCTGGCTCAGAATATGAAAAAATAAAAATGCATTGTGAGGAAAACATGTATTTTTTTGCACGTCTGAGCTTGTTGGTGTGCAAACCGATGCACCACTATGCCTTTATAATTAAATAAAAGAAATAAAATGAACGTTTAAATGCTTATTTTGTATGTTTTCTTTACATTCATCTGAAAAAAAAGACACAGCATGGAGGTGAAATATCCCAAAATCTCAAAAACTGACCAACATGACTTTCATTAGCTGCAACTTTTTGTTTTCTCATCTTTTGCAATGATGACGTCCACCACTAGAAAGCGCTAGAGACCACGTTTCCACACTGTTTACAGGCGTCACCAGAAAAACCAAAGAAAAAAAGAAAAAGGAAGCAGTTGATTAAAAAAAGCCTTTTATTGATAAGTTACCGCCAGGCATCTGCTCTACTTACTCCATCATCAATTTATCCTCGCATCTGTCCCTCTCATATCTGGCATCTGGCAATAAATAATTATTTACAACCGTTAGGAAAGCGCAAATGAAAAGCAACAAGAAGTTACTGTCATTAGAGATGCTGTCGGAGCAGAAATATACAGCGAATGAGGCAGTTTGAAATCGATACTGTTGCATAAAAAGCTGATAGATAGATGATGGTCACTAATTGATAGCCTCGGCTGGATAAAAAGGCCTCTCGCATCCTCTCTCATTCTCTCAGTGGTATTCAGGGTTTGTGGAATTAATGTGGATCTCTGGTGGGTTGTTGTGGAGTTTTTCTGAACATCCCGGGAAAATAATTCAGTTATCTAAGATGGAAAAAGAAGAAACAGATTACAGACACGCTCATTAGAGACACAGCCATCAGCAGCAGTGGTGGAAAGTCAGCTTGTAGTTTGATTGATTGTTGTTGTTCCTTTTTACTTCCTTCATATACTCCAAGGGAGATGGTGTACTTTCTACTCTTGCATTAATTCTATAGGTGCATCTGTAGGTACATATGACTGCTTATATCATGCAACACACTGTTAAACAATATATGTGTCTTGGGAACCCTTGTTCAAAAGGCAGCATGTAAATTTGGCTTCTTGTCACATTTTAGATGAGAAATCTTTGCTTTAAGCTTCTTAGATAGTTTAAGTTAAATAACTTTTTAGGGCACAAAATAGTACAATTATCCAATATTTAAAAATAAGACTCAATCACATATTTTATAAGTTTATGTTTAAACCTTTACTCAAATACTGTATTTAGGCGCAATTCTGAGGTCCTCACTCTTTCTCAGAGACAGTACCTAAACTTATTATTATATAAAATTATGAGATTGTTGCTGATGCATTCATGTGTAAATTAGTTGAAGTTCACCTGGTTTTAGTGATGGTATGGACAGATTATATCCTGTACCCATTTAGGGCACAAAAAGGTACAATAATTTAATATTATTTTTTAAAATGGTGCCTTTTTTTTCATTCCACAGGTTTATTTTATTATTTTTTTCATTACAGAAATGCATTTATGTGTATGTTGTGTTTTACTGGTATAGTTAATTAAAGTTAAACTAGTTTTAACTGCTTCATGTGCAGGTTGTAGTCATATAATTAACACTTGTTTTTTACAAATTGTTAAAAAGGAAGAAAAGAAATTGAATTTTTTTGCTGTTGCCTTAAATTGTATATATAAATATAAATAAGAATACAAATAAAAGTACAATTATCCATTTTTTTCCCTCAATAGTTCTATATTTGAGAAAAATGCCCCAAAAAAGACTACAAATCCAACCCACAGGTAAGTTCTGTTTTTTTTCCCTCCTCCAATAATCATGATACAACCCCTCATTATTGCCCTACGACCCTTTGAGGGGTAAAAAGCTGCACTAAACAACCATAATGTATTTAAAGCTCATTATAACAGCATTCACACTGTATATATAATTTACTTGATCCTTTAGGTGCACTTTCCACCACTAATACGTAGTCAGGACGGATGTCTGGACAAGAGATCTCACCTCTGCACTCGTATCTGAGGTCCGAGAACAGAACATGCTCCTGAGAGAAGACAAACAGTCCCAGCCTGCCTCCAGCCAGGGTGTGGTCGTACACGGCCCCCGAGTCGGACAGGATGTCCCTGCCCTCGTACACCACCACCCTGCAGCGGGAACAGAACGCAGGTAGGACGGCGCTAATGGAGGGAGGCTGTGTTCGATTACAAATGTGCATCACTGAGTATCTGCTCTAAGAGTCAAACAGATGCTAGAATCAGGACTACACCACTCTGCTGCTTTTAAGAGACTACTGACAGCTTTAATCTAATAATATGTACTGTCAGACTCACTGAGCAAATTAAACCACCAAATAATGAGCTGAAACTCTGCTGACAGATTGTTTTCACATTTGACACGCTGCACAAAAAGCTGCTTCAACAACTGAAGACCTGAATCCTTCCTCCACCACTAATGGCGGTGCGCGCCACCTTTCTGGGTCAGGTGTGTTGCATATTATTCATCCTGTCCCGTATTTTGTTTTTTTCTTTCTTTACTATTTATTCCTGCGTAAAGCCGAGGACATGACGTCAAGAGGAGATATATTTAAAGCAGCCACAATGAAGCTTTGGAGCAGCTATCCGAAATATCAAAGAATGTCCGTCCTTCACATACAAAGAGCTGGAATTTCTATTCAGCCTGAAAGTGTACGGCTATACAGTCATCCTACAGTACAGCCATTCAGCAGCACAACGCCACAGGACCGCTGCTTGCATCCTTAAAACAAACTTTGCAGTAAAGGCACAGAACGGCTTCGCTGCTTGTGACTTAAAAATCTCTTTACTGACGCCGTTCTTTCCGTCTGCGCCGAGCACGGAGAACTCACATCCCATTTTTTTAGGCTATTAGTGAAAAATACATCTAAGCAGAAGCAGCTGTGGCAGTTTGAGGAGAACTGGGTGCAACAAAGAAAGTGAATTACGCTGTTATCACAAAATAACTCTCGGAGATTGATGATATCCTCGAGTGTAAAAACATCTGAGGCCGGCGCCGAATGCGATTTTCACAGATTTAAGAAGTTATTCCGCAGATTGTTGCTCTGCTAAAACCTACACGAACTGAACTGGGCCACAAACATTTGATTTAACAGAACATGCCGTCGCTCTTTCTGCGCTAACCGCATTAATTTTAATACTTTACCGTGAAACAAAAACAAACACAGACATGTTCTCCAATTGCGAGCAAGTCTGAAGTTCCTCCCTGCAAATTCATTTTCATGCTTGACTGAAAAGCAGTAACTGCTTTCGAAATGATTAGCACTAATGTGCAGTGTGGGTAGTAAATGGCTTAAAACTCTGGTGTGGTCCTTTAAAAAGCCAAGCCAACAATATCAAACCCTTTAACTGTAAATTAAAAGTGAAAGGTTACTGCTAATGCAGAGTTATTTCCCCCGAGGAAGCACACCAATCCCACCAATCTCCAGTGTTTTTCTATTTCTAAATGTGTGATGGTTTCCATGATCATAATCCAGCTGCGTCTCATAACAGCTTAACGCGAAAATATAAATCCAGCCTCCGAAAGGAAAGACGCAGCCAAGCGATGAATACTTTAACTCAACACATCTACAGGTTCATTTATCAGTTGTCTATCAGGTATTTAACAAAGTTTTCCAAGCAAGTGAGGGGAATTTTTTCACATATGCTGGATATGATGAGGCCAGTGTCACTGAAGAATCAGTAATCTCCAATAAATCTAGATTATTCAGCGTGTGATGGGGTTAAACTGTGCTACCTGATGAACCCGGTCTTGGGTCGATGGATGAGGTGCATTCGGTAGGCCGTGAAGTCCTTCCAGCCGATTTCATTGGGGTCGTGCCACAACGTTCTGACCTTAAAGCAAGAGACACGAGCGCGCACAAGAATATAAAGCTGAGTATCTGATCTTTACACATTATGGTCTGGTGAAAGGAAAGCTTTATCTTTTTAAAACAAGATAATGGGCAAAGAGGATGAAAAGAGATCCATAATAGTGCCTCGAAACGTAATCTCAACGAGAGAAAATATGCGCGGCTACTCATTCGTGCCTGGTGCCTGGTGTTTCCAGTGTGCCACAGAGCGTTGCGCAGATACTCCCCCGGTCCCGTGCTGGAGTTGACCAGTTTGATTGAGACTCCAGCAGTGCCGAAAGCCTTGGACGGCCTTTTCTCCCAGTAAGCCTGAGACACCTGCTCTCACAGACGAAAACAGAGTGCGATGAAGCGTGAAGGTTAAGTCGTCGTATCTGGAGATGGTTACTGTCACAGCACACGGAATGAAGAGCAGGAAAAGTCAAGTCTTCTTCCTTCATGCACTTTGTTCTCCCCCCCAGAGGAAGAAGCATAATATAAATTGACATTGAAGAGATATAGGTTGAGATCAAGAAGATATTTGATGATACAAAGATTGACGGAACTTCAAGGCTTTAAAGAGGGAGTTTGTGTTTGTGTTTCTGCAGTCAGTCAGATGTGTTTCTGTCAAACTCAGCATCCAAGCCTCACCTGTTTCCACATGACGACGTAGAAGCGTCGACTGGACTGGTAGGCGAACACGATGCCGGCGTAGTCGTCATCTCGGTTGGTATTTACATAAAATGTCACACTAAAGTCCACTGCGCTGAACTTGTCAAACCCTGTTCAAACAGAGGGATGTTCATTTCATGGAGGAGCCTTTTTCCTCACGTTTGTTATTTTTTATTCTTTTCATGGTTAATCTCACCTAAAGCGATGCCAGGGTCCGAGTTGGCGGTCTGCAGCAGCTCTGTGCCCTGGCTACGGATCACCCAGAGCGGGTCAGACTGCGTGGTGCCTTTAGGGTCCAACAAAACAACCTGAAACTTCCTGAAGTCTGTAGACCCGATATCCTGGTTCAGTGGGCAGGGATCCAGAGCATCTGGAATACTGTCGTTGTCGAAGTCATCAAAACATGCATCTCCACTGCCGTCGCCTGAGAGAGAGAGAGAGAGAAACGTGACTTTATGGATGATTTTTTCCAAGAAAGTGGGTTAAGGACTGGACAAAACAATGTGAAAAGGTACAAATAAAGTCCTGCATGATGGATAAAACAATCTTTTAAATATTACTAATCACACTGCAGAGAGCCATAAACTGTTTATGTTGATGTCCAACATTAATATGACCTGAACCTCTGGAAGCACACCGGACTGACAATCACAAGATTTTACTGCATGACTGCAAAACCCATCTGTCGTAAATTGTACAAAATATTTTCCCAGTGTGACAGCAAACTAATCAACATCCGTTCAAATCCGTATTTTGATATCAGACGTATTTTCATTTTTATTTGCCGATCCATAGTCGATGATGCTTCTCTGGTGACAGCCTTTGTGTTTGGTTTTGGTGTCTTGTGACCTAAATGTCACCTGAAACCGTCACCGCACTGACCGTCAGAGTCCAGCTGGTCCCTGTTGGGTACCAATCTGCAGTTGTCCCGGTCGTCAGGGATGCCGTCGTTGTCGTCGTCATGGTCACAAGCGTCTCCTTTGCCGTCGTTGTCGTGGTCAGCCTGGTTGCTGTTGGCGATGTAGGGGCAGTTGTCCAGAGAGTTTTGGTGGCCGTCCTCGTCGATGTCCTCACTGCTGTCACACATGTCGCCCACCAGGTCGCTGTCAGAGTCGAGCTGCAACCACACACACATGCAACATGCTGTATTTGTACTTATGTTTAGATTACCATCACTGCAGTCTTATCATAAGATTGTTCTTGCATTATTTTACAACATTTTCTTCTTTTACTTCAGTGCTCTTGGTCCAAACATGTTCAAGCCTCATTATCCCTTCACAGAAGAAGGTCACATCTTGAGTCTCTGGATGCTCCTCAACAGCATGCATGACTTCATCAGCCTTAGAGATAGGGTGAGGAGCTCAGACATCCAGAGGGAGCTCGGAGTAGAGTCGCTGCTCCTTCACATCAAAAAGAGCCAGTTCAGGTGGTATGGACATCTGATTCAGATGCCTCCAGAGAGGCTTCCTCTGGAGGTCTTCTGAACATGTGCACCTGGGAGGAGACCCCGGGGCAGACCCAGAACCCGCTGGAGGGATTATGTCTCTCGGCTGGCCTGGGAACACCTCGGGATGGATGGATGGATGGATGGATGGATGGATGGATGGATGGACGGACGGACGGACGGACGGACGGACGGATGGATGGATGGATGGATCATCCGAATACTTCTCAACAGCCTGCAGGCTTCATCATTGCTTCAAAAATGGCGACCGCTCAAGTGGAATCAAGGTGAGGCCGACACTCTTTGAAGTATCCTTGTATACCAATCAGTCCCCACATTAAAACCGCCGACATGTGAAGTGAATAGCATCGATCATCTCATTACAATGCAATGTTATGCTGGGAAATCCTCCATCCTGACATTCATGTGGATGTTCCATTTACCACCTAGCTAAACATTGTTATAGACCAATCACGACCTCTCAGCGCTCCTCAATGGCTAAGGCTTCCCTCAAAGAGCCCAACTTGGTTTCCAGTTTCCCCAGGTCCCAGTGTGGGGAGTTTCATCCATGGGAAAAGTCAAAACAAGCCCAGTCAAGACAAGAATCTACAGGACCCAAAGGACCCACTGCCCAATACCACGGGACACCCCCAGAGGTCCTAAATGCCAGAACTGATTTGGCAGCACAAGGGGGACCTACATAATACGTTGGGTATATTGACTTAGATTGATGTGCATAGATGCTGAGTTTTGAGTGTTTTTTTTTAGCAACCTGCAGTGGGTTGTGTAGAAGGGGACAGTTGTCACACTGGTCTCCAACACCATCCAGGTCCGTGTCCCTCTGGTCAGTGTTGTAGACTAAAGGACAGTTGTCACGATCGTTCAGAACCTCTGAAAAGAAAAGAGGGAAACACAACCAGAGCGGACAGATTGCATTTTGTGTAGCACATAATAAGAAGACATTCCAACCAATATAAATCAAGACCGTGTTTGGGTAAGTGTAATTTCATCCATATTTCAAGAGTAACACGAAATCCACCTTTTTTTTTGTGTGTTAGTAAATTGCCTGGACAGCCACTTTATTTCACTCGCAATTGATCCTGGATCCAGACCGGAGTTCTCATTATCACATTCAGCTGCTGCAACTGGTGTTGTGGATGACAAATAATAAGCTGCATTTTGGTTTTTTTTCCTTACAGCTGGTTCATATCTCATCACATCTCCCTGGTGGAGTTCAAACGGTTGTTGCAGATGGTTTGGAAACAAGTCCTGTAGATGTTTGATAAAGGTGCTCTAACTCTGCTATTTACTATATACATAAATAATGTTTTTTTTCCAACTCGGCGCTGTAATTCCCATTTTCCATGTTGATGATCTCATTGGGTAAGCCATTGCAGCCTCCACAGAATGGTTTTCTCTAGACTGCAGTCTGCTTTTGATGACCTGCAGACCACCCGGTTTAATTCAAAACTTGTCCCACATTTCAAAAAAAGATAAAAATGTTTGGCTTTTACTAGAGCACGAACCAGTGGCGCTCCAAACCCTATTCATGCTCTAGATGGAGCTCTGGCTGATACAGATATATTCCTTGTTGTTAAATCTTGTTTCTCTCCAAAAGCAGAAAAAATCATTTACACCGGAGATGCCACTGGGTGCTCTCTACCAGCTGACGGGAAATTTCCTTTTACAACTTTTAAAATCTACCATACGGTCCGAACACCCCGCCACCAAATTACGACACGATTCGACGTCCACTCGGGCGAATCTGAAGTTACCATCGCTGCTTTCAGTTCCAGCTCTGACAAAGAGGTTGCGAGCCATTACTGCTCTTGTGCCAAAGCCTGTTCCCTCCTAAAATAGCATTTCTCTCCCCTTCAGACAGAGTTTCCCTGTTGGGTTTGGGGTTAGGACATATAGCAGATTAGATGTAGTGTTTAGATAGCCGCCGGGTCAGGTTGGGTCGGATGCATTTTGCTTGCTGCCCAACTGCCTCGAGCCGCTTGATGCTGTGAATCACGGTTCGTTTTGGATTTATTACAGGTGACAGTTTTAAAACCCATCACTGCATTATCTATAAGACAGTAGGGGACCAGTAGAAGGAAACAACGCTGTCTTTTTTATTCTTCTTTATTAAGATAGCCAAAACAAACTAGTGTGTTTTTTATAACCAAATTTAAAAGAAGAAATATGGGTACTTATCCCATTTATGAATACCTAATCTAGAAAATACTGCCTTCACCCACCTGGAATAGACTCATCTTTTGCCGTTAAGTTTAAGCCTTTGTTGGATGATATATTCTATATAATAAGTGCTCCATTTTTTCTTAATGTGTCTGCTTCTTCCTTGTGCAATGCATATGTGGAACGTCGATTCCAATTTCTGTTATGTATTTGCAGGTTACTGTTGTGAATGGCAGCCTTGCTTTAAGTGTTTTTTTTCCCCCTTGATTAAATAAAAGGTTCAAAACGTATGTTATAACTTCGTCATGGTGATCCTCAGGTGTAATCTGCTTTACGCCCAATTGCAATTAGTCGTAGATGGCCGGTTAAGCGACTGCATGTTGAGTGTTTAGCGAGTACCGTCTCCGTCTATGTCGATGCTGCAGGCGTCTCCCTCTCCGTTGTCATCGGTGTCAGTCTGCAGCGGGTTGCTCTCAAACGGACAGTTGTCACAGCGGTCCCCGATGCCGTCCCTGTCGGAGTCGAACTGCCGAGGGTTGTAAACCAGCGGGCAGTTGTCCTGTACCAAGCAAACACGTTCAGACGCACATACAAACACACAAGATGTTAACATAAGCCTGCTGTCAGTCAAGGCAAAGCTACTCATTCTCACCCTCTCGTCTATGATGTTATCGTTGTCATCATCGGGATCGCAGGCGTCTCCCTGTCCGTCCTTGTCCAGGTCTTCCTGTCCTGAGTTTGGCAGCATGGGGCAATTATCCTGCAGCCAATCACAGCTCATTTTAACTGATTCACACTCAGCCAAAACACAGCTCAAGACATCTGTCAAACCGTGAGATGGATTTAGAGTCGATGCTGTTTGTTTGTTTGTTTGTTTCTCTACCTTTTGACAGTGATAGGTGGCGTTCTGCTTGCAGGTCAATCTGTTGTTGGGCCAGCCATCCAGGTCGGAGTCTTCACCGCACAGGAAGCCGTCGCCAGCGAAGCCGACAGCACACACGCACTTGTACAAGACCTCAGAGGCCAGTCCGAGGTAGATGCACTCCGCGTTCTTGTGGCACGTGTGCGTGTTGTCTTTGCAAGGATTGTACGGTTCGCACACCTGCAAGCGGAGCGGCTCGGTGAGAATCCAAAAGCCTCTGCGGGTCGCGGTTGCATTTGAAAGCAAAGAAAGCGTAGCCGACTGTAAAATGCCTATTCAAAGAGGAAAACACATGCCTGCCTGGTTTTAAGGGCTTCCTCCAGTCCAAGGCCATACGGCTGGGTGCCTTTATAGCGAGGAGGACAGGGCAGGCAGTAGAATCCAGGGTCTGTGTTTACGCATGCTGTAACACACACACCCTCCACTTCACACTGGAGAGATGGAGGACGAGAGATTATCCATGTTCAGCATATCAAACACAAACTGTTTGTGCAAAGGTTTAACAGGTGTTGGGAGCAGGAGGAGCTCTTTGCCTGGATTAGACCGCAGAATATCTTTGCACATGGTTACTATGTCAGATTAAGTGATCGCGGTGCCTTTTTGTAGCCTGCAGACTAAACAGTGAATGCATAAAGTAAAAAGGCGATCTTTGTAAAATGTCAACAACCGATATAGAGTGTCATTTCATTCATGTTGTCACTGAAGATAAAAAGAAGGCTAGCGATAGGGTGCAATTGTAATAAACTGAAAGGTAGCATCACGGTTCAACGTGGTCACAACGCTGACATGTTTATGTCCAGCAGCTTTAATGTTTCCCACGCAGCAGAATGAAAAAACAGCAGGTCAGACTAAAATCTGGATTTTAAGTACTTCTACTTAATAAATTGCAGGGCTGTGCAAACAGTGAAAAAAATGTGCATGGAGTGCAAATTTTTCGGTCAATGTTGGATTTTCCTCAGCACAAAATGATGAGTCACCCTATATGTGGGTTACTCCACAGGTGCACTTATTCAATGACCTACGGCTTGATTAAACACACATGAGGCCAAAAGCCTGCAGGTTGGCTCCAACCAAACACATTATAATAAGAAAATTGCACAGCATTAGCACATTCTCATAGTCTAATTAGCATATTTACATATAAATATTAGCTGTTAAACTGTGTGTGACATCTGTGCTTCAGAAAGACAACAAGTCATGGACAGCAGGTTATATTTAACGTTCATTTAAGTCACCTGTGTGCAGCTTTTTAAGGTAAAAATATATATATCTACATTCATATAGTAGTGGCCCTATGCAGCACTGTAACCGACAGTCAAAGGAGAGTTTTTAAGGTGCAGCTCAACCCTTGTGAACAATTAATATCTACCACGTTCATTATCTTCATTTGGCGAGCGAATTAGCACGAAACACAAAGCACGGCTGAGGATAATGGAATTGTCATCAGCGTTTCAGATATTTGCTCATAAACCAAAGTATTAGACAAAATTACATTTCTGACCAAATGATTCCGCGAGATGAAAAGTTAATGGCCGATGAAAGTGCTGAATCCTGAGGGGGAAAAATGTTTATCTGAATCAAATTTCATGGCAGTCTGTCTAATAGCCGTCTAGTCCACACAATACGAGTGTGGTAGCAGAGAACGTCTGGGTCACCGGGGTTATTAGGAGACATCTTCTGGGAAACATAAATACCTTTAAAAGAATTTCATGATGATCCATCAAACTGTTGTTGAGATATTTCAACAGGGCAGCATCACCGAGAGCTACGCTGGACGCATGGTTTGAAAAGTCTGACAGGCTGATATTTATGTTGAAATACCACAAGACATCCCACCACAAATGCAAAACTAATTGACTTCTGCAAGAGCCCTCTATATGGGATTAAATAAATATATCAAGAACTAGCAGCGTCTAACACCCCACATTAGTGACATCGGGCCAATATCAGGCAGATTTCATGCAGCCTCGTCCTGCGTTTGCCCTCTTTACCTCGTTTTCATCTTCACAATGAGTGCCGTTGCCACTTAAACCCAACGGACAGCGGCCACATTCCCACGATCCGTCGCTATTCGATATGCATTCCACTCCAGGAAAACAGGGATTTGAAAGCCGGCACATATCTGAAACACATGGAAATGTGCATATAAATGCAGTTAGTCCTTCACACTCAGCCACAAAACAAATAGTTCAAGACCGTGTCAGTGGAACCTGAATTATTCTCTGGGAATTGTACTTTTTAAAGATTTTTTTTTTTTATTCTTTCCAAAGCCTCAGTAATTGAATAAACACTGTAGGATATTATTATTGTTTTTAATCCTGTATTGTTTGAAAATATGTTTCTGCCAATAAAACAGGATTAAGGTTTATCCATGGATGTGAGGCTTAGCCTACTTATAGAACATTATCTGCTTGCACAGTTCAGATGTACTCCAGCCGGAGGTTTTCACACATGGCGAAGGTTTACCTATTGGGCATGGCTGTTTGTTACAAGCTTCGTAGTCCACGGCGTCTCCGGCACAAGGCTTCCCGCCGTTCTGAGGGGCGGGACTCGAACACGCTCTCTGGCGACTCATGAGCCCTCCGCCACACGAGTCTGAGCACAGTGACCACTCAGTCCAGGATGTCCAGCCTCCCGCAACTGCACACAAACGTGTGATTCAGCCATCAGCCACTGAAGCACCACAGAGCAGCAGGTATATGTTTGCTCTTGTACTTACTGGGGCAGAGCGTGTTGTTGCAAGACTGTGTTTCCTTGGAGCTTCCTGTGCAACCTTTGCCTCCTTTCTGCGGTGGAGGATTGTTGCACAGACGGACCCGTGTGATGTTGCCGTCCCCACATGTGGTTGTACATGCAGACCAGGGAGACCAAAGGCCCCAGTTCCCGTCAGCTCGCCCTACACATGAAACAAGCACATAGAAATTCTAAGAAGTCCTTTTTTTTTTGTATGCTAGCCTGGAAAAAACTCAGACCACCACTGCAGCTCTGCACTGTGTGTACACTTACAGAGCAAAACAGCATGTTTCCAATTATGATTCAAATCTCTAAAATCCATTTGTCTGAAGTTCAATATTTTTTGCTGTCTGAGAAATATTCAATTTACTCCCTTGGACTGGATTTGGCTAAATCCATCACAGAGAAATGCATTAAATTAAAACGTGTGACAGATGCAGAGTGATGCTCTACCCTTGCGGTCACACTTCATCGGCGAGCAGCTGCGGGTTTGGACTGACGGGCCGGTGCAGGAAGGCATGATGCCATTGCAGGATCGGCCCCGTTGCTGCCCTCCGCGTCCACAGGTGACCGAACAGTGGGTCCACTCGGACCAGGGGGACCAGCCATCTTCGTTGTCTTCACACACAGACGTACACTGTTGTTTTATTAAATGCAGTAAACTTGGCACACTAAATGTTGGACGCAGAAGAATCGTACTCACCGAGACAGACAGGACAGCATCTTCCATCGATGAAAGACGGATTGATGCAGGAGACAGGTGGACATGACACCTGCTGACACACCGCCTTTCCATCCTGGAGAAAACAGACCGGCGATGATACATTTATATTCTGGAACAATACCATGTATTTGATCCAGATGTTTTTCGCTAAATGCCAGTTCTCGCAGAGGAACGGTATGCCGTCATGACTCACAAGAAGTCTGGCTACTCCCTCAACGCATCCTTGACAAAACAAATGATACTTTATAAGGAGAAACAGACTCATGGAGGAGGAGGAGGATGAAACAAGCAGAAAATATAGATGGAGGCTCTGGAAACAAATGAAACCACGGTGGGTAAACGAGAAACTTCCCCGAGCAATAAACACATTTTAAAGAAATAGTTTGACGTACAAAAAACAGAATTATTATTGACGCTACTCTCGTGTTTGTTGTTTAAATATAAAAGTACGATTTCTCAAGAGATCGGTAGTTTAGCATAAAGATGAGAAACAAAGTCACGACTTTTAAGTAGTTTCAGTTTAGTCAGCCAAAAATCAAGTCATCCATGTCTCACAGCAGTCAAGTCCGGAGGGATTATGTATGACACAACTCCTCTGAGCCGCCCAGGAAACACATCTATCGATAAAGATGGATACAGTACAGAACATTTATCATCTGACCTCGCTGATGCAGGCGATCTGCCGTCTACCTAATGATGAATCTTCCAGTCAGTCAAAAGCTCGCGTGGCACTGACCTGACAGGCGCAGGAGGTGCAGCTGTCGACTTCCCAGTCCTCCCCCTGCTCGTACACTCGTCCATCCTGCACGCACCACACCTCCCCGTCTCTGTCCCTGTCCAGATCATTGTCCAGGCCGTCAGCGCCATCACCGCCGCCCCTGCTCCTGCTGCCGCCGCTGAATCTGCTGCCATAAATGCCTCTGCTGAAATCGTGGCCTCTGTTGAAATCGTGGCCTCTGTTGCCATCAATGCCTCTGCCGCCGCCATCGAGCCCTCTGCTGCTGCCATCAAGGCCTATGCCACCATCGTGGCCTATGCTGCCATCGTGGCCTATGCTGCCACCATCAAGGCCTCCACCGCCATCGTGGCCTCTGCCGCCTCCATTGTGGCCTCTGCTGCTGCTGTTGCTCAGCTCGGCCAAAGATATCCGCATCTCTTCATTTTCTCTTGACTGCGAACACAAAAACAGACACCTTCAAAGCACTGAAATCATCAGTAAAAACCCCCATGTTTCTATTTATACTGCACTCCCCTGCACTGCTCCTGGTGAACTACAGTAGGTCACAACTATCATGAGATGATTAGTGGCCCACATTTTTCACACTGATGGCATTCGTTCTGCTTAAGGTTTTTTTTTTTTTTCCAAAACTACTGACGCATTTACCACAAACCACAGCGCCTCCTGCCAGAAAAAATATCTTACGCTTTTTGTGGCATTTGCACTGGAAGACGAGTTACTCTCTGCTGGTGTTGTCCCACAAATTCCCCCCAAAAACTCAACTAGGTCACATAAAATGCAAAGTGTAGTGCAAAGACTGTTGAGCAAAGACAGTGTTCTTGAAAACTGTCTCAAATCTGTCATAATAAGTGAAGAAAAAAACATCTTTCTGAATTCATAGTACAGTTTTAAAAGAATCAACACTTGTTGTTTGAGTTCTTTTTGTCGCAATTTTTCAAAATCTAAAATTCAAAACTGGTTCTGTCCCACAAATTTCTCTTAAAACTCAAATAGGTCACACAAAATGAAACATGTTTTACCAGGACTGTAAAGCTTATCTTGAAAATTCTCTCAAGTTTGTCACAAAAAGCAAGAAAAAAACATAATTTCACAATTTATTTCTGATTTAAAATCACAGTGCAGCTTTAAAAGACTCAGAACTTGTTGCTAAAGTTTTTTTAAAAATCTAATATTCAAGTGCTCACTCGTGCCACATCAAAGTAAATCCATACACGTGCGTGTTTTTGCGTGTCTTACTACTCTCTCCAGGTCTTCCAGCAGGCTGCTGGTCACAACACGCAGGCCATAGATCTCAGTGAGCAAACCCACCAGCTCCTCACACGGATGACGACAGACCTCTGACGACACGTTGTCGACCTTTGCGCCACCCACACCTGTAGGAAAAGCATGCAGGTCTATGCTACATTGATTGCACATTTGAGTCTGCATTTATGACAGAAAAAAAGAGCTGAATTGGTGCATGTATTCTGAATGCTATGTATGCATGAGCAACATGCACATGTCTGGTACCTGCACACATAGCTGCTGCACAGAGGAATATCAAAAGCCAGGGGAAATCTCTCAGAGGACTCATTCCTGTTCACACATAAATCACATATGAAATGCAGCAAGTCCACTGCAACATCACCACAGAACACAAGCTGCCGAGGAGATAAAAAAGAAGAAGCAGAAGATAAAGAGGGAATTAACCTTTCATACCTGCGTACTCCTCGCTGCTCTGCCTTTCCCCACGATTAGAAATCACCGCTGGTAGATTCGTCCCTGCTGCAGCTCCACAGGGGCTGTGATGGAATGTCTGTCTCCTCTCCCCTCGTCCCTATTTCCTTGCCTCCTTATTCCCTTCTCACCTCGGTATCCGGAGCGAAGATCACCGGCGCAGCTGCCTCAGTGGCTTTCGGGTCGAAACATCCAAAGAAAATAGGGGAGAGGTGGGTGAAGAAAAATCTGGGTGAAGAACATGCAGACAGCTCTGTTAGTTGCTCTAGAAAGCTCCTAATGTGGTTGTGTGTTTGTTTGAGAGTGTGTCTGCATGTGTGTGTGTGTGTGTGTGTGTGTGTGTGTGTGTTTGTGTGTGAGGCAGGAGCAGGGGCCATATATTACCCGTCTGTCTGGCGATGAACTGGGCTGCATATCTCCCAGCGAGAAACCCAGCTGGATGGAAGGAGCTGTGTCTGTGTGTGTGTTGACGTCTCGATGCAGGTTTCCCAGACACATCATTTACACTCTTCACTCTCCAAACTGAGACACACACACACGCATACACCGACTAAAAAACAAGTACTCACACACTGAATCACACACACACACACACACTTATTGGCTGCACAAGTTTTCCAATATTTTAGGAGCGAGAAAGCTGGCATCCCTGTAAATCCTTTGCTTGAGAAATGAGAGGCTTGATGTGTTTGTTTGCATGGTTTTCTGTGTGTTTTTGTTTGTTTTGGGAGACGCGCCGCCTGCAGAAGATTGCGAGCACAAAGATGAGCAAACTGATGGAATACAAAAACATCTACTTCCATTGGGATCTCTCCGTTTGGTTCTTCTCCCTGCTGAGTCAAAGAGGCATCATCATTCTGAATCATATTTTCCATCTGTAGACTCCGCTTGTGGAATAATGAATCTCGCAGATGTGTGCAGACATGCATGCACATACATGCAAGCGCCTGTGTGCCCATACAAACACACTCGTGCAGAGATTCTCCATTTCCAGATAGAAACATCACGACGGAGAGCAAACGGGGACAGACACCGTGTATCTTTCTGGAAATGGTTCAGCGGTGGAGACAGTGAAAACAGGTGCTGTGACTGCTCGGAGAGTCAGGGGAGGGGGGGAAGAAAAAAAAAAAAAGCCCAAAAGTAATAAGATCTGAAGGGATATAAAAGGTAAAGTCTTGGGTGAGATTACTTGGCAAAGTCTAGCGTGACACTCTTGGGCTGATATGCTGTGTGGAAGGCACATTCTGTTCTGGGATCTCTCTCAAAGTCTACAACTGTGTCCGTCTTACACTGTGTTTAGAGAGAAAATAGTTTTAAAGAGGGCACTCCACTCACTGTCACAGAAATGTGAAACTGAGTGGCAGCTGCGGACTGAAAGTAGTCCTGCGAAAGCAACGAGAGGACGTCTAATGAGATTGAGGCAGGGTTGAGAAACAGGGCACTTTATGCAATCAGGCGGCTTAAGAGAGACTAAGGTTGGAGTTGCGGCAATTGCCCCATTTCTCTGACAGAAACCAGACCAGAGGGCTTTTTTACTTTCTGAGCCCGTCGAGCAACCTGAATGCGAGTGAGGCAGACCAGACGATATCCTGCAATTGGCGGGTCGCTCTAAGCATGTAGTGATCAGAGAATTACACGGGCTTAAAGTAAAAGGGTTTACATGCGGAGCAAGAATGGAGAAGGTCGGGATGAAGGTGTCATAAGACAGCAAGGGCAGGAGAAAGCAATGTGAGCAGGGGTGGCAGTCAAGTTAATGTCGCACTCATGTTCATATTGGAGTTTTTTTGGAGACCACAACCACATGGCTTTTTGCATTTTAACAGCATAATGAACAAAAAAATAAAACCAAACAGTACAAATATTATAAACAAGTGGTATTAATTTCCTCCATCTGAGATCTATCCAGATAGACAGATAGATAGATAGATAGATAGATAGATAGATAGATAGATAGATAGATAGATAGATGGATGCTGATTCATTACACTAGACAGAGTTCACCCCTTTGTTTATAACAAGCAACTGTGGGTCAGTAGAACAGGAGAGGAGCATTAATCCATTTATCAGATCATCCTAATATTGTGCAGATTAGCTCGCAGCGCGCACGCATGTTGGGTCCTGCGGGGATTTGTTCCAGAGCGGTGCATTCCTGGCTCCGTCTCAGTACACCTCCACAGAACCTGTACATGAAAGTCTCCGATATCAAAGCCTTCTGTCATTTGGCTCAGCGGTGGGAGAAAAAAAAAGAGGAAAAAAAATCAAAGCTTGACCTCAGAGTAAAACGCACCCTCTTTACCGACCTGTGGGCTACTCATTTCCCTCCTGTCGTGCGTCACGGGCTCGGGGGCGACCCCCCACCCCTCCGTGCGCCCAGGAAGCCCGTGGGTATGTGAGAGGTGTGAAGTGAGAGGTGACACAGCGCCTGACATTGCAAGGCCAGAGCGGAACCGGCCCCGTCTGCGCTCAGGGCTTTACTCAGCTCAATTAGCGTGACATACTTTTCCCCCCACTGGGATCGGCCGCCTTCCGCCCGCTTGTGCTGGTCACAGCGGATTATGCCACTTCGGCAGCAGCGCGCTTCCCAGAAGGCACAACATTCATTAGATAAAGCGCAACGGTTTTCTTTGCGCCTTTACGCGCGGCTCTAACAGGGGAGAAAAAAGTGACTGGTGGAATATGACTGTGGACGAGGATATGGCCGGGTTTATCCCTCAGAAGGAGATTGTGTATAACGGCCTGCTGCCTTACTCCGACCGGTTGGACCGGGAGGCCACGGAGCTGTTGGCGGAGATCAAAGCCAACCTGTGCAGAGCTGTTCTCGTTAGAGAGCTGTGGCCCGGGGTCGCTTTCTGGTCCAGGAAACTCTTCTCGTAAGTGTTGAATCAAGGTCGTCCTGCAGATATGAGCTACAGAAAGACAAGTTAACCCGTAATTGGTTGCTGGTGATGCATCGAGAAGTTTTGTCCAATGGAAAGTCACGCAGATTTACGCAATTTGTATGATTTTGTCCAATGCAGATTTGCATAATGAAACATAAAATTGCAGAAAACCTGTTATACAAAGAATAGTTGTCATAATGTAGGTAATTAGCTGGGCAGGGATCTTCTAGTTAAATGGCAGTTCCCAATAAAATAGTATGGATTTTTACAATACATATCTTTAAAGGGTGTTTTCTCAAAATCTGTTCTTTTTGGCCAAATTCAAGCCAGAAAAACTTTGCTTCAGTAGCACCTAAATCTAGTTTTTGAACAGACTCTTGTTCATACATCACTCTTAGCCTCTTGTATATAACATTTATTTCTAGAAACACAGCAAAAGGGGATGTTTTTATGGCTGTTGACCGGTTTTATTCTCTTGAAATTATGGAGTGATACAAAAAAAAAGAGCTCCAGCAAAATGAATCAAAAAGGATGCCTCCAGTTTTCAGATTTTTGTTCTGGAAGTTTATGCAAATGTGTGCATATTTATTTAGACAATGCCTCATTTGCATACATAAACATAAGATTTCAGGAAACTTGAAAGACAAAAAAATAAATGTCTTAATGTGAATCAGAAACTGGGGAAGTTTCAGGGTGTTAAAGCAGCTCCTCACCCAAAGTGTTCTGCCCTTTAACTTTAAATACGTGCTAGACGTTTAATTTACTTTACCTCTTGGCGTCACATCAGGTTCAGTGAGGTTAATCGAGCTTTCATATATAGACAGTGCGTCACCGAAGCCGTGCAGTCACTGTGTTTCCAGAATATGGGTCAGGAAGTCGGAAGTGCTCAGCAGCTCACCTTTCACCTTTCCTCAGGTTTCTGAAGCTCTACGGCCGCAGGTTCAGCAAAGAGGACCACATTCTCTTCATCAAGCTGCTCTACGAGTTGGTCACGCTGCCGGACCTGGAGCCCCACATGATGCAGAGCTACGCCAGGCTGCTCATTCAGCTTCTCAAGTGGGTGTAAAAACGAACAAGCACACATGTATAAGGGATTTGCCCCGCAGGGACGAAGCTGCAGGAGCTCAGACATCTGCATGGAGATCTGGAACTGGCTGCAGCTTCTCCACATTAATAAAAGAAGCCAGTCGAGATGTTTCAGGCATGCGGTTCGGATGCATCCCGGTGGACCCCGGGGCAGGCCCAGAACATTGCTGGAGGGATTACATACCCCATCTGGCCTGGGAATGCCTCGGGATCCCCCAGGAGGAGCTGGAGGATGAGGAGAAGATACCCCGCTGCTGCACGGATAGACGCAGTAAAATAACAGTAGAACTGATATAACATGACAGATATGATGAGCAATGGCAGTCAGACTTAACTTCTAACACGGCAATGAAAGATTGAAAGATAAAATAGCTGAACTCCCCCAGCAGGAGCCTTTCATGTTGTTTCTTTCACCATAATGAGATCAGTGAGCAGCCTGTTTGGTAAACATCGCTGTGTTTTAAAGTGGATTTTTTACTTACCTCTCTGCCGTTTGGAACACTGCCATTTGTGGATTCAAGCAGCCTGCAGAGTTGAAAAATAAGAGTCATTTAGAAAGCATTCGGAGAGAAGAAATCTCAGGCAAGGCCACGCAGTCATAGAAATCTGCATCTAGACACAGGGCTGACTGTGCATTCAGGAAACTTAGAATAAGAACAAAAAAATGTAGAAAAGAATCTAACCTTGCTTTAAAACGAGTATCTTGTTTGTTAATCTGAGGGGAAAATAGCTTTTATACATGTCGTGTGTATATTTTTGAGATATCCTGCTACTTAACCAACAAACTGGCAGAAGTCATCCGTTGGACTCTGCTGCTTATAAAACAAAACTCAACATCCTACTCCCCTTTTTTTTACAAATGACAGGTGAAATTCATACGCAAAAGTGCAGTTTTGCTTTGCAGGAAAAGATACAAACGGCACCTGATAGCACTAAAGGTTTAACAGATCTTTAGTTCAAGATTTACAGCTTTAGCCGGTTCCAGACCTGCCAGCTCCTGCCCAAACCTCATATTTCTTTAGAGAGCATGAAGTGGAAGAAGGGTTTTTTTTAGTTTAGCAAAAAGTAGTAAAAGAAATTCCATCAATGGTAAAAGTCAGCTAAAACCAAATACGTGACATTTATAGA